CGATTAATAAGATTAAAGGAATTGAACTAAAATAAATTATAATAAAAGAATAAAAATAATTATTTTAAATAATATAATAAAATAATTTATATTATAATATTTTTTAAATTATTAATAAAATATTATATATATATATATATATACATATACATAGAGAGAATATAAATAATATTAATATTAACAAATTTTTATATAATATTTTATTTGTTTAATTTTTTTAATTAATAGATTTTTATAACATATTTTATATTTAATTTATAAAAAAATTCATAGATAGTTATTTTTAATGTGTTTTTTTTATTTTATATAAAATTTTATTAATAATAATAATTTACTTAATGAGCATTTCAATGTATATATATCTACAAAGATATATATTCTTTTTAAATTTTTATTTAACTAAAATTAATAACTTAATTTTATATAAATTATTTTATATGTGATAAAAATATATACAATCAAATTAATTTATTTATTATTTATATATATTATTCAAGTATCAAAATTATGATTACATTAATAAATTATATATATAAATTTTATTTAAAAATTATTAAGTATGATCTAATAAGACTTATTAAATATTAAATTAATATAATCAAAAAGATTTTTTTTTGTATTTTTTATAAAAATTTTTATTAATTATAAATATTATTTTAGATATTTTTTATATTGTATTTAAACTTAGTACTTAAATAAGAATATGAAATAAATTTATTATATAATATATTTAAAAAAATAAAAAACAAATTATAGAATATTAAAATATTATTAGATTATACAAAAAATTGAATATTTAAGAGCATCTATAAAATAAATATAATAATTATATGAAAAATTAATTTTTATTTTATTATAAAAAATAATAATTAAAGAAAATAACCTTATATATTGAAATATTAATTAAAAATAATATGAATATAATCATAATAATTCAATAAATAACATAAAATTTAGTAATAATTAAATAAAAAGAATATTGTTAAATAATATAGTTAAAATTATAAAAATTAATTATAAAAAAGTGAAAAATATATATTATATAAATAATAAAAATTAATTTTATAAATCTTATAAATAATAATATTAAATTTTATAGAAATTTATGTTTAAAATTAATTAAATAATTCTTTTACTAATTTGATAATATTTATAATTAACTAAAAAATGTAAAAAAAATTAATATTTTCTAAAAATCATCATTTAAATAGAAATAAAAATGAATAAAAAATATCTAAAACATATGAATATATTATAAAAATAATAAATTAAAATTATATTTAAATATATATATATTTATATACATACATATATTTTTAAATTAATAATAATTATTTGTACATTTTTTTTTTTATCTTATTATATATTTTATTTTAATTTAAAAAAAAATAATCCTTCTTTAATCTTTGTCTATTTTTTTTTATAATAAATTTCATCTTAATATTATGTTTTATATAAAACATTTAAGTAATTAATAATAATTGGAAATTTATTAATATTTAAATAATTTTTATAATATATTATTTTAATTTAAATAATAACTTAATATTTTGATTTACATTTTTTTTAATACTTTTTAAATTTTTTTTTTTATTATTATAATATTATATATTATTAATTATTAAATTATAGTATGGAAAAAAAATTAAACTAAATACTCTATAAAATTTTATAAAAGTATTTTTTTTTAAAAAAAAAAAAAAAAGAATAAAAAACCTAAAAAATAAATAAATATGAAATATATAATCTATTTTCTTATCTTTTTATTTATATCTTCCTATTCATTAAATAATCCATAAAAAGAAATTGATTTAGGCAGAGCAACAATTGAATAATACTGTGGATTCTATAATTACCCTTTAGAAAATCACAAAATAAAAACTTCTGACAATTACATACTAACCTTCCACAGAATTTAAAAAAAAATAGTAAAATTTCTCCTAATAAGCCCGTAGTGTATTTATAACACGGCTTATTAGATTCTTCATTTAATTTTATTTCTAATACTGAAGAAAATGCTCCTGGATTTATTTTAGCTAATGAAGGTTATGATGTTTGGCTCGGTAATAGCCGAGGTAATCATTTTTCATTAGAACATGAATTTTTAGATTGGAAAAAAGATAAATAGTTTTGGGAATTTTCCTGGTAAGATATTAGTGAAAAAGACCTTCCGGCTGCTTTTGAATATATTTGGGTAAAAACAGGATAGAAAATTAACTATATAGGCCATTCTTAGGGGACTACTATTATGTTTGCGGCTCTATCTGAAAATAATTATGTTATTTAAAAATATTTATAGTCTTTTATTGCTTTGGCGCCTGTTGGGTATGTTTCAAATGCTGAAATGAGTATTGATTTTTTAATTGAGAAATTAAATTTAGTAAAAATTTTTAACTTTTTTAATATTAATTATATACTAATGCCGAATTATAAAGAAGAAAGTTTAATAATTTTTATATGTAAATTTTTGTCTTTTATTTGTAGAATCTTAGATAAATAAATTGCTAATTTCGAACCAAAAACAGATAATGAAATAAGGTTTCCGGTTATTGCAGGACATTATCCTGATGCAACTTCGGCTAGAAATTTAGAACATTGGTAACAAATGTTTTTAAATAAAAAATTAAACAGAATTAAAAAATTTGATTTTGGTAGTATAGAGGAAAATATAAAAGTATATGGATAAAAGAATCCACCAGTTTATTAATTAGGTAATATTAAATAAAATGTGCATTTAATAACTGGAGTTTATGATGAAATTGCAGATCTCAAAGATGCTTAACTTTTAAGAGACAGTTTATAAAATTGTACGTTTTAAATTATTGAAGGGGGGCATGGAACATTTATGTGGTCGGAGAATTCGAATTATTTTAATTAGATGGTTTTACCTATATTAAAAATATAATAATAATAATAATAATAATAATAATAATAATAATAATAATAATAAAAATGATGAATATATATATATTATAATTATTAAAACATGTTATAAATATTATATATTTTGTATTATTTTTTATGATTACTATTAATACTTATCTATTATTAACAAAATATCTATTTCATCATAATATTTACTAAACAATTGTACTAATATTATTTTTAATTTTAATTTTAAAATTATAAAAAATAGATAAATTCATATTTAAAAATAACTTTTATAAATGAAATAAAATAAATTTTGATTTAAATTATTTAATTTAATTTATTCAAACAAAGAAAATGAATAAAAGTCTAATAAAAGAAAATAGAAAATATAAACTAATAAAAATCATATATCATAAAATTATTATTAATTGGTTTAAATTTTAGAATAATATTTAAAAAAATAAATAATTTAATGATATTATTTTTAATTATTTTATTTTCATATAAATATTTAAAAATTTATAATAATATATTTATAATTTTTATTTTTTTAATCAAATTTTGTATAATTTTTTTAAAAAAAATAGAAACATTAAATAAAAATAAAAGAAAAAATTATTTAAAAGAAATATAAATTTGAAAAATCTAAATATATATATTTATATATTATTATATTTATATCTTTATATATAAATATTTATATATAGAAATTTTATTATTAAAAATTTTATATATATAAATATATATATATATATATATATATATATATATGTATATATATATATGTTTTTTGTTATTTAAAAATCTAATTTATATAAAATTATTTTTATATATATATATATATTTTTTTATTCATATTTTTATTTTCTTAACATTTTTTTTTTAAATCAAAAAAAAAAATTATTTAATTTTTTTTTTTTTTTTTTTCAATCTTATTATATATTTTTAATTTTCGACCTCATATTTTTATCTTTAGTTTAAGACATTTATAGAATTTATTTATCTTATTGCTTTAATAAACTTTTTAATTCAGTATTTATAGTTCTTTTCTATATTTATAATAAAAAAAAAAATATAAAAAAGTTATATATTTTGAAAAATACTTTAATTTTTTTATCCATTTTCTATCTTAATTTGATTTATTTTTTTTCAAAACCATTTATATGGTTATTTTCACATTCATGTTAAAAATTTTCCATAAATTTTTAATATTATTCATTTAGAATTAAATATTTTTTCTTTTCCCTTTTTAAAACTTAAGAAATAATAAGTCTAATTCTTTCCATATCGAATCTAAAATCAGTTAATTAGTTTAAATTATCTTCTAAGTTTTTTATTGTTTTGCTTACTTTTAAGTTATTTTCTTTTTATATTTTATGAACAATTTAACTACTTAATGATATATTTTATTAATTTTCTATTTTATCCTTTTTAAAATTAATATATATATATATATATATTTATATATATATTTATATATATATTTATATATATATTTAAATATTAATAAATATATACTTTCTTTTTATTATCTTCTTCTTAAATAGCTTTAATATATTTATTAAAGACAGATTCATTCTCCAAAACTTAAATATCACCTCCATATTATACAAAAATGCCTTTTAATTTTGTCAAAAGTTCATTTCTTTGACATCTTATACAATGACAATATCCCTATAAATAATTATATAAATAATTAAAATGAAAGAAAAATAAAAAAATACTTAACAAAAAGGACATATCCAATCATTTTTTGATTAAGTGTCATTCTTATAATCATAATGTAGTTTCAAACAACTTAGACAATATTTTCTTTTGCAAATGAATTCTCCATCTATTTTATGTATATAAATAAATAATCTGAATATCATTATAATATTATTACTAAATTTTATATTTACTGCTTTTCTTTATGTAATTTAAATAATTATTTCTTTTTCGGTTTAAAAAAGGTCTTCTTGGATTATTTTTTTCTATTTCCACTATTTATATATTGAATATATATTTAAATTTTATTATATAAAATAATATATAAATACTTTAATTACATTAATTTATAAATAAAGAATCATTTTATTATGAATTAAATGTATTCATTCCCATAAAAAAACTTCTGTAGTGACATTTAATTAAATATCTAGCTTCATATAATGATCTACAGTTATGACAAATATCAAAGTTCTTAGTATAATTTAATGAATTTATATGATTTTCATCCAAATGGTTATGATAATTTGTTTACATTAAATCAAAAGAATTTATATTTTTTCTAGGATTTGGTTTATTTCTTTAAGCAACAATTTATTATATACCAATATACTAAATATAAATATATATATATATATATATAAATTAAATATATATATATATATATATATATTTATATATATATATATATATATATATATATATTTTTATTTACATTATGTGATATTGAAGAAAATAATGTTTTAGTAGGTAAATTATATTATTTTAATAATGTAGTTTCTCTATAATTATCTAATTTTTAAAGAACATTTTTTTCTACATATATAGGTTAAGAATTTAAAGCAGATTCAAATGTAATTTCAAAAAAAAATCATTTTTCTTTCTTTTTTACAATTTGTTATTTTTGAAATAGAATCAGCCACTTATTTTTCATCTAATTTAATTATAGTTTATTATAAATATTTTAAATGTAATTCATTTATATATTTTTCGTTATATATTGCTCTAGGATCTGTTAAACCTAGCTCTTTTTGGAAATTAGGATTGTAGTTTATATTATTAGGTATTTCTTTATTATCATCACATTCGAAATAAATTAGTTTATTTTCTTTTATTTCTTATTTAACTTTTTTATCTAATCTATTTTTTTTTTAATTAAATATAATTGATATTCTTTTTTATTTATTTTTTACTGTAAAATTTTATCTTTATTCTATTCGTTTATATTTTATAATTCTTTCATTAAATATCGCATTTCTAAAGTTAATTAATCCCCAGTTTCTTGTTGTTATTTTTGTTCTTCTAATTCTTGGAGATCATTTTAGATTTCAATTAATTTTTTTTATTCGTTTTCGAGTATTTTATAATTTAAAGTTTTAGATATAGTATAGTTCTTTTGAGATTATAAGATTTGTAGTTTTTTTTTATTTGCTTTATTTTAATTCTCATATAATAGATATTCTATATTACATGCTATTTGAAGATTTTATAAATTTAATTTATTTTATTTAAAGGCTTGTGTATTTATTAATGTTCTAAAAACTTAATTTATGCTTTTTATTTAGGCTTTTTAATTTTTAAGTTTAACTATTTTTTTATTTATATTTTTTTTTTTTTAAATAAATATTTATATTTAAAAAAATAAAATATAAATATTTATATTTTATATTTATTAAAAAAAAAAATGATTTTTTTTTTTTACTTTTAATACAAAAAAATAAAATAACTATTTATAGGTTTTTTTATTAATTTTTTTTTTTTTTTTTTTTTTTTTTTTAATAATAAATGCATAGAAAATAATATTTTTTTCAAAAAATAAAATAATTAATTAATTAAAAAAATTATAAAGGAAAAATAAAAATAAATTTAAAATTTAAATTTTTAACTAAATAATGTATTAAAACCTTATGTATATTCGTTTGTTAGTTATTAAAGATATTCAATCCTTTCTTGCTCACTTTGATCAATTTTACGGAAATAATAATTACTGATATGGCGCCAAAAGCACCTTAAAGTTTTTTCTTATTAATTTTAATTAAGAATTGCATTAGATGATGCTGAATTAATATTTCTTACTTTTACTTTCAAACTAAAAAATATTTTTATTTTTATTTTTTTATATTTATATAAAAAAAAAGTTATTTATTATATTTAATAACTTTATTATAGGGTCATAAAATTCGAAATTTGCATGCTTTTTATCTAGCTTTATTAAGCGCTCAACAGCATTTTTAATTTCTGGATTATTATTTTTTTTTTCTTCTTCTTTTATAAAGGAAGAAGTATTCATTTTATAATTTTTATAAATTTTAGTTTTTTTAATTATATTTAAATATATAATGATATATATATATATATATATTATATAATTTCAAAAATTAATATATATATATTTTTAAAGATATTTAATTATTTGCTTTAAAAAATAAGAGAAAAAAAAATTAAGTATAATTAAAAGAATCATTTTTTTAATTTTTTAAATAAAAATTATTTAAAAAAATATTATAAATATTTATATATGTATATACATATATATATAAATTTATTGATATATATACATTTATAAATATATATATATAATTATTTAATTTTATTAATTTTTTAATTTTTTAATAATATTTTTTTTATTTTCTAAATTTAAAAATTATAATTACAAAGTTTTTAAAATATTATTTATCTTATTTTTATTTAATTATATTTGACATATTGAAAAAAATAATAATAAATAATATTTATTTAATAAAATAAAATATCTATATTTATATTATATTTTTTAATATAATGATAAATCTATATTAATATTTTTATTTATTATATTATATATATATATATATTAATATATATTAATTTTTAGAATAGTATATAAAAAAATCATATAAAATTTTACTATTATAAATATATTAATTTTTTAAACCTTCTTATTATAATAATCTGTATAAAGATATTGGATTAGATATTAATTTGTTTAGATAGAATATTAAAATTTTGATTCATTATTATACTAATTCTTTTTGATTTCAAATTGATTTAAATTATTAATAAATTTAAGAGTTACTTTTTTATTTTTCTTTAACATAAATATACATTTATTTGAAATTATATATTAAAAAAAAATATAAAATAAAAATAATATTTATTTAAATATAATTAATTAAATAAATTTATATTAATTTGATATAAAAAAATTTTAATTATTTAATATTTTTTTATATATATATATATAAATAAATATTTATATATTTATATATATACAATTTTTTTGTTTAAATATTTTAGATTTTATTAAATTTACATATAAATTTTTATTTTATATATATATATATATATTTTTATTATTATGAATATTTATTTTTTTATTTATATTTTTCTTTTTTAATATTTAAATTGTAAACTTCATTTTTTTAAAATATATGATATAATTTTTTTTTATTTTGATAAAAATAAAATTATATTTAAGATTTTAAATAAAAATTTATTTTTAAATATTTGATATAAAATAATTTAAATAAAGATTTCTTTTTATATAATTATTTTTTTTTTTATTTTAATTATTTTATTTTTATATATATGAATAAATAAATATATAATCTTTANATTTTTTTAATAAATAATTAAAAATAAATTAATTAATTTAATTATAACATATTTTTTTTTTATTTTTAAATATATAATAAATTATATATTTATTATAATCTTTATATAATTTCTAAAATAAAATAATATATTTATTTTTCCATTTATTAAAAAAAAATTACAATTTTTTTTTTTTTATTATAATTAAACATATAATTTGCTAAATATATTTTTATAATGTATATTAAAATTAAAAAAATTTAAAGGAATATTATTATTAATTATTATAATTTTTAAATACTTAGACTAAATTAAAAAAAGATATTTACTCTATTAATTATTAATTTAATGTTTTTATAATAAAATAACAATTTTATTTTTTATAATATCATTTTATATATCTTATAAACAAAAATCCAAAAAAATTTAAAAATATTAAAAAATAAACACATTAAAAAAATAATTATATTAAAAAAATTAAAAACAAAATGAATACTAACTATTTATCTAAAAATTTTAAAACATAAAAAATACATTTAAATAAATCAAATATTTAAAAATCTATTTAATTTAACTAAAATATAGACTCAAAATATAATACTCCATAAAGGTAAAAATAATAATAATAAGAATAAGAATAAACAACTCCATGTAAAATTGATTAAACAGTATCTTCTTTTATAGAATAAAATGATGTTTATTATAGTCATATCAGAGGAAAATGTGACTGTTATATATGTACTTGTGGTAAACATTTATGTAGATTTAATAAAAAGGCTTTTTTATAAAATTCTTATAAAGAGCATTTACCCCAATCCACTTATACGAAGGATTTCATCACAAAAAAAAAATCCAATTGATGTCAAGTTTGATAATAAAATATATAATAATTTATAGCCGGATGCTAAAAATTTAGATATTGAGTCCATTTTTCATTCCGATTTTTTAAAGCCTCCATAAGAATATTATGGGATTTCAAAACCTTACAAAAAAGAAATACTTCCAGACTTAAAACCATAATAATAAGGAAGATCTTAATATAAAAGAGATTTCTAGGAGTGGGGAAACTCTTATATGAATATAAAAGGAGGAAATGATAGAACTACTATTGATGCAATGCCTTTCTCAGGATTCAGTTCCTATAAAAAAGATTATTAAAAAATAAATATTTAAAAAACTGAACCTGAAGGAAGCAATTATAAACGTACAGGATGTTAAAATCTTATTCCATTTCAAGGATTAACTACAAATATGTAATTTTATTAAGGACCTAAAAATAATTAAAAAGCTTAAATGTGGAAATAAAAAGATTAATTTATTACTAGAATTCCATGTTTCGAAAATTAATATATAAGTCAATTTAAAAAAGATTATATAAAATTTGATTAAATTTGTCCAGTAATAGAAAAAATAGAGGTTTAATCTTGAAAATAAATAGATATATATATATATATGTATACATATATATATATATATATATATCTATATATTTGTAAATTTATTATTAATCTATATATTTCTTTATATTTTTTTTTTATTTATTTATTTATTTTATTTTATTTTATTTTTATTATTCTTATATTATTTTTTTAATTTTTATTATTTACTCTATACAAATTTTTTAACATAATTTTTTTTTTATATATTAAATATATTTAGTTTACTTTATAATATATATATATATATATATATATATATATATAAAATTTATATTTTTTTTTAATTTTAATTTCTTTATAGATAAAAATAACTTATTTTTATTATTATTTAAATATTTTTATTGATTTTCATAATTTTAAATATATAAATCATTTATATTATATTATTAAATAATATTTTATTTAATTATTTTATATATATAATTATTATTTATAAAAAAATTTAAAAAAAAAATATTTCAATTTTTTGTAAAAAATCATGATATCGTATTTAAATAATAAATAACATTAATAAGCAAATTAAAAAAAAAAATAGAGAGGAAGAAATAAGAGCAAATTTAATTGGTGAAGGGTTTTAATAAACTCCAATATTAAGAAAAAATTGTAATTAAAATTTTAAATAAAATTAATTTTAAAAGTTATTTAAAAAAGGGACTAGAATCAATATTATAGGTGAAATAATGTAAGCATATGATTTTGATATTGAAAATTTATATATTGAATACGAATTTGTTTTATAAGATAATTGGAAACCAGATTATGAAGATTTATAAATGATATCTAAAAAGCCAAGTGAGGAAACAAAAAGAGAATGGAATATGCTGTAAATTTTTTATTTTTTTTAATTTAAATAAAATAATAATAAAGTAATTCTATAACATAAGCAGCTTCACCTACTATTTAAAAATACACTTAAAATGGAAAATAAATTGTAACAAATTATTGTTTTCCTTTTGATATATAATTATAAACATCTTCAGAAACAAGTATATTAAATTATATTTTTTTTAAAAAAATATATATAATTGAGTAAATAGTTACAGAATGCAAAAAATTTCCTTTTATGTTTCTTATACTTCATTCTTTAGATTCTTGGGGAAGAAAAAGACTAGAAGGTTATTTTTATAAATAAAAAATTTAAATAATTATCTTATTATATAAAGGATATGGATTTTGTGAAGTTCCTAATAAACCAGGAACACATGAAATAATTGTAAAAACATGGACTCCATGTTAAAGCTTATATGCGAAAATTCACGAGTTTTTTTTAGGAGGATAAACTAAATTATATGATATAAAAAAATTGCACAAACAAGTTTATTAAATGATGAAGTATTTATAATTAATATAAAATATATATAAAATTTAAAATTTAATATAGTTTATTTAAATTATTTATGTAATTTTTAATATAAAATAAATATATATATATATGTATAAATATATCAGAAAAAAAATAACTTTACAAAAATATGAAAAAAAAAGAAGCATAATGAAATAAATATATATATATATATAAATATATGTATGAAAATTATATATATAAATATATATATTTTTATATATTTATATTTATATTTATATATATGTATTTTTTTATTTTTATATATATTTTTTAAAAAATGCATGATACATTAACAATATTGAAGTATTACTTTATAAATATTTTAACAATATTAAAGTATTATTTTTATTTATTTGCATTAAATTAAATTTATATATAATTTATTTTCAAATAATATATAATTTATAATATTTGCTTATTTAATTAAAATAAATAAGACATATACATATTAAATATATATTTTTTTTTATAAATTTATAGAATGTTTTTTCTGCTATTGATAGATTTAATATCAAAACCGATAGTAGAGGAAGTGTAAAAGTTAGATTTAATATTGGTTTTTAATCTAAGTATAAATTTTCTTATTTTATAATTTAATTATTATTGTAGAAAGTATAGAGATGAATAAAGATCTTTATAAGAAGCTAAAAGAATGAATTAAAGATTAGAAATGGAAAGGCTAGATGATTTAGATTAAATTTAAAAAAGAATTTAAAGTTATTAAAATAATTTCTAATATCCAGTTATAAAGTATTTATTTATTTTAAAATAAAAAAAAATATATTCCTTTAAATATATCATATAAATTAATCTAAAATATTTTATATTATTATAATTAATATATAATAAAAATGATAAAATAAATATTAATAAATATATATATATATATATTTATATATATATAAATTTTTATTTTTAAATTTTATAGAAACAGTTATACAACATCTTTAAGATATAAAAATTAATAACTAAATAAAGAATATGTATGAATATTATTATATATTTAATATTATTTTTGTAATTAATTATTTTAAAAAAAATATAATATTACATTTTTAATTATATTGATTTATATTATCAAATATTTATTTATTTTAATTATTTTATTTTTTTAATATTTTTAATTTAATTTTTAAATATATTTTCTATTAATTTTTTTTATTATAACTTTTTTCTTAAACTTAAACATAATATTTTTTTTTTTTACATTTATTCTAGATTTACTTTAAATATTTAATTTTTTATTAGCATCTATTTCTTTAATAGAGAGTTTATTTAATTTTATAATTTTATAAATCAATTTTTATAAAGTAAGTTATTATAATTAATGATTTCATTTTATATTTGTACCTTAATTTATATATAATAAATTCTTTTTTAATTTATATATTTATAAAAAAATTATTTATACAATATAAGTTATATAAAAAAAAATTATAAAAATCTAACTTTAATTTTTTTCTAATATTTTAAAATTAAACTATAGATTCAATTTCTTTATTTATAATCCTTAAACTTTATAATAAAATTAAAAAATTAAATATTGAATAGTTTTTATTTATATTATGCTAAATAGAAAGTAGTCTATTTATGAATATTATACGATATTTTTAATTTTATTTAAAAAAAAAAAAAATATGATAATAATTCAGATAAAATCAAAAAATATATGTAATGCTTTGTTTTAAAGAATATATAATTATAAATTTAATAAAATAATAAATTAGATAATTCTTTTAATAAATCAAATTATAAAAAAAAATTATAAAGATTTTTTATTTTTTATGATAAAAATAATTTTATAATATATGTAAAATATATAATATTTAATAACTTAAATTTTAAAATTATATATTATTATTATATTTTTTAATTATTTAGGAGTATATATTTAATATTTATTTATTTTATATATTATTTCGATAAATTTAATAAGATTTTATAATAATATGTTAAATTGGTAAATTTTTCTAATATTAAAATTCTTAAAATATTTTTTTCTTATACAATTAACAGTATAAAGTTTATTTTTGTTATATTTTTATATAATTTACTTTAATATAATATTATAATATATCAGATAATAAAATAAATGTAGGGATATAAAAAATAAAAATAAAAATATTTAATATATAAAAAAATATATATTAAAAAAATATTTAATACAAAAATAATAATAATAATAATAAAAAAAAAATTAAATAAAAATAAATATATAATTAATTATAATAAAATTTATATATTAATATATATATATAAATATATATTTATATGTATATATATTTATATCTCTTTATTTATATTTAATATATATTTATACATATTTTTTGAATAATTAATTTAATATATATATAGAATCTTAAAATAATTATTAATATATATAATTTTTTACATATTTTATTATTTATTTTGATTATATATATTTTAAAATAATATTAAATATTTTTATTTAAATAAAACATTTTTTATATAAATTATCTTTAATATTATTTTTTATTATATATTTTTTAATTTTTTATTTTTATCATTAATCCAATTATATTTGACTTAAATTTAATTATTTTCTAAATTCAGATTTATTATTTTATTATTTAATATCATCTAATTCAAAACTGTTTATATAATTATCTAATGCAGATGTTGTTTTAATCTCTTATCTATAATTTTTATTTTTTACATCATAGAACCCATTATCTCTTATTTATAAGTTATTAATATTTATACTATTATTATACTGACTTTACTGACTTTCACAATTAATTTCTTAATAACTAATTTATTCAATTTAAGGAATTGACAACTTATTTATATCAGAATAATTTAATTATTTTTCATTAAATTATAAAATAAAAGGAGATGATTATTAACTATAATCAAAATATATACTATTTTATAACTATTAATTATCTTATAATTATAAAATATTTTGTAATTAATACTTATCATTTGATTATTTATTAGTTTATAATTATAATGTTTATATAAAATAATTATTTTTAAATTAATTTTTTTAATCTTCGAAATTACTTTATTATTATTTATTTTATTAATATTAAATATCATAACTATTAAGTTCTTATTAAAATAATTATTTTTCTGATATTTATTATTATTAAGGTTATGATATATATTATAAATTATAATTTTATTTTTATAATTAACATATAGGTTATTATAAGGATTAATATAAGTATGTTTAATAATTTTAATTTTATTATTATTATTATATTTATGATTAATTTTAGGAAATAAATTTTTAGATTTCATCTTAATTTATAATCGTTTTAGCTCTTTTACATTTATAACTTAAATGTTTTATTAAAATAGAATTATTAATCTATATATTTATCCAATCTTATATTTAAGCTATTCTTTATTCTTTTAGGGCTTAATATTATTAATTTATTTATAAATTATCATTTTTAAAAGTATCTTATTCGTATATTTAATTGTTTTTTTATTAGTTTCTTTAAATCGGAATGTTTTATTATATTTTTTATTATTTTTCAGTATTTGTTTAATTTTAAAATTATTTAGAATATTAATGTATTATTTTTATGTCATTTTTTAAAAGGATTTCTTTATATAATTATAATTCATTTTATAAAATTTAAAAATTCTATATAGAAAGAAGTTTATCAATAAATTAAATAAAATATTAAATTATGTCTAGGGATTATATATTTAACATATTTTTAATTATTTAAAGTTTTAGTATATATTTATTTAATTATAAAATATATTTAATTTTCTAAAAATATTAAATAAAATTTTTTACTCTTTAAGGAATATAATATATAAATTCAATAAATAATATAATTAATATGAAATTTTAAGGAAAAAAATATATTAATATTATTTGTATTATTTATATAATATAAATAAAAAAAAAAAATTCATATAAAATTATAAAATATATAAAAATTTTTACAAAAAAAAAAAATATAGAAATATTTATTGTAAGATTATTTTCAAATAATTTATTATATAAATTAAATTAAATAAAAATATATTTATATATAAATGATATAAAATATATATATATATATATATATATCATTATTATTTTATTAAAAAATAAATCTCTTTATATATATTACATTTATTATTTTTATTAAATTTTTATTTTTTTCTATCAATATTATTTTAATTTTAATTATTCTTTTCTTATTTATAATTCTAATTCAGTTTTTTGTAAATAAAGATTTTACAAAATTATATCATTTTCAAAAATTTAATTTAAGTTTTCTTATTGATCAATTTTACTATACAATACACTATCTTAATTGTCAAAAATATTCTAATCTAGAGATAAATTGAAAAATTCACTTTCATTAAAAATCGTTTATTCTTCATTATTTTATAATTGTTTTTTATATATATTTTATTGTTCTTTTTTATTTGTATTTTCTGGTGACTTTTTATCTGTATTTTCTTATGATTTGATATATGCATTTTCATTTGTTTTTTAATTTTTTCTGGAGTTTTTTAAGCTTTTCTGGTGTTTTATTTTATGGGCTTAAACTTTGTGGACTTTTATTTTTTTATTTTATATTGTATTTTTATTGAAGATTTTCTTTATAAAATTATTTTAATTATTTAATGTTTTCACGGAAATTTTAAGTTTTTTCAAATTTTGGCATATTAATTAATTATTTTTCATTTTTAATATGAATTTATTATTTTTATTAATTATTTACATATTATTAATTATTATAATTATCTTGTTTTTTTATAATATGCATTTCATTTTAATTATTTATCTATTCATTTTTTTATATTTTTAATTCATTTTCTTATATTTATAATTTATTTTCAGAAGTTTATTCTTTAATATTAGATGTTTATATATTATTTTCATCGTCATAAATTAAATCTTTATTTATTCTAAAATTTTAATATTATTATAATTTTATAAGAAAATAAAGAATATAAATAATATATATATATTCAAATATATAAAAATATATATATAATATATATAATATAATATATATATAAATATCTATAATAATTATTTATTTATATATTTTCTATTAATTTTTATATATATATATATATAATTAAATTTTATATATTTATTTACATTTTCCTTTTTAATTTTTTTATAATATCTTCAGGTTCTTCTTAATCCTTAAAAATTTAAATATTTTATGGTTTATGATTATCTTCTTGTATATATTTTTCGATTATTTAAGACGAAAAATTATTCAAATTATATTTATTTTTCATATTTTCGAATATATCATCTATATCATTTACTATTTTTAGTTTATTTTTATTTTCTTTTTCTTCTTCTTATTTTTTTATTAATTTTTAATCGAAATTTGCTATTTCTTAATTATTAAATAAAGAACTGTTGTTTTTAATAAAATTTGAAAGAAATTATGAATGTTCTTTTAATTTTTATTGGCTTTAATTTAAATCAAAATCCATTTTTTTTTTTTTAAAACGAAAATAAATAAATAAATAAAAAATTTAAATTTATTTAAAAAATAAAATATATAAATATTATATATATATATTTTTTATTCAAACTTTTTAATTTTTTTATTCTTCTATATATTTAACATTTTCATTGTTTTTTACTTCATTTAATTTTTAATTTTATTCAATATTTTATTTTTCTAAAATTTAAAGATGCTTTTCATAATTATCATTTAAATAAGAACCCATACATGTGTTTTATTATGTATTATTAACATTTTTTTCTAATTCTAATAAATAATCTACATAAATACATTAAACTTTTACAGAAGGTCTTAAATTATAAACATGTTCGGCGGCCTCTTTTAAAGATAAACATTCGTTTTGGACTAAATAACCTATTAAAATTGCTGCGCTTCTATTATTCCCTTTTTTCGAATGAATTAGTATATTATAATTTTACGTTTTTGCTAATTCTAATATTGATTATATTTAAAAAAATATAAAATCATATAAATAAAAACTTATAAAATCAAAGCAGTCATTGAAAAAGGTTTAAATTTATTATTTTTCATTCCCCTATTAATATATATATACATATATATATTTATAAATAATATATACATATAAAATTTTTTACTTTCAATGTTATTCTTTAATATATAAATTGTTAATTTTTCTCATAAAAATTTTGAATACTTTTTGTACAATTAAGTATATATTTAATATTTCTAACTTTTATTAAATCCTTTATTTATTTTATTTTTATTAAATAAAAACGTTTACATTTAAATCTTCTGCATTTTATTAAGAACCTAAATATAACCAACTTAAAATTTACGTGGGATGATTATAAAGAAAAGACTCAATCATATATTAATTATTATCATAAAAATTAGGTTTTTTATCATCGAATTTTTCTTAAGCGTTAGCTAAAATAACAAAAAATAAAGTTAATACATTTATTTATATTAAAATATCTATTTTTTTTTTATTTAATTAAAAAAATTACTTTTATTTTCTTAGTCTTAAATTTTTAATAAATCAGAATTTTCTTAAATAATTTTTAATAAAAGTTATTATTCTACCCCTGATTTTGATTAAACTTCAGATTTTTATATTTCTAAGACTTCATTTAAGCTTTGTTCAAACTAATGTTATTATAATTATTCGTCTATTTTCTTTAATCCATAGAGTTTAAAATATCCATTTTTCTTTATATTTTCTTATAAAGTACCTAATATTTAAGCGAAAAAAGCGCAGTATATTTTTGAAGGATTTAAATAAGATTATCCGAATTCAGGATGGAATTAAGTTCCTACATGGAAATCATTATTTTAATATTCAGAAAACTATATAAATATTAATATATATATATATATTTATATGTATTTATATATTTATTTATATATATTTAATAACTGAATATCTTCTAGGTGTCGAATCTTAAAAACCTGGAAATATATAACCTTTTTCTTCATATTATTTGATATATTATTCATTAAATTCATATCTATGTCTATGTCTTTCTTATATTTCATTACTTCCATATATTTTATAAGCTAAAGAATTATGATCACTATTTTAGATTTTTAATATATCTGAAAAATATGCTTATATATTTACTAAATATTTGTTTTTTTTTTCCCTAATCTCATCGTTCCTCCTAATTTATTTAGTGAAGTATCTGGCAAAAGTTTAATAACAAAATTTTCTGATGCATAATCATTTTTGAATTCTTCAGTCTAAGCATCTAATATACCAATAACATTCCTTGCAAACTCAACAGCCATAGCTTAAAACCCAAAACAAACACCATAGCATGGAATATTATTTTCCCTTGCATATTAAGCAGCTAAAATCTTCCCTTAGAATCCCATATAACCATACCCTCCTGCTATAAAGATCCCATCGGCCTACTTTAATTACTCCCAATGCATTTTGTGTATATCTTTGTCATTTTATGATGCATCTTCTGGTAGTTATTATTCCAATATTTTAGGGTTTATCCATAAAATTTAATACCTACAGCTTACTTCAAAACTGGCTGCTTCAAATGCTTTTGTAACTGAATAATACGGATCAGTTTAATACTCTACATATTTTCCCACAAAACCAATTTTTATTAATTTCGTTTTAGTTTTTTCCGTAAAGATTATTTCTCGACAATATTTAGTCATTTTCTGGAAATAATATATGGAAGTTTTCACAATTGGAAGTTGAAGCCTTTATAATATTATAGGAATGGTCAATTATTCGTTTAGTTTTAAAGAAACTTCGAATTAAAATTGTAAATTAGGCACATTTATTACTTAATAGCTTTATATATTCGCATCTTTAGCAATTGTTTACTTAAATTCATCATCTATTTATTCTTAGGATCTTAATATTACTAAATCTGGGTTTAAACCAGCAAAATTTAATGCCTTTTTTTAAAAAAAAACATTTGGATTTTTGGATTTTTTTTGTTATACTTTTATGGAATTGTTTATAGGAGCTGTTTTATAACCTGAATTATCTATTTTTAATGCATAACTAACTAATATTATACATATATTTTCTTTTCCATAATCTAATTATAATTATCTTATTGATTCTTGAAAAAAAATAGATTCTAAATCTCCTACAGTACCTCCTAATTCCAAAAGTACGATTTCTGGTGGTTTTTCTGATGAATCTATAGGAATTTAACTTGCTTCTAAAATTTATTTTTTTATTTCTTCAGTTGCATGTGGTAAAAATTTTACAATTGATCCTTTATAATAACCTTATCTTTCTTTTCTTTTTAATTAATATTTAAAAAAAAAAAACAAAAAAAAAACAAAAATACTCAATAACACTTGAGTAAATTTTGCCAGATGTAATATTATGTTTAGAAGTAAAATTTATACCTAAAAATCTTTCATAATTTCCTAAATCAAGATCTACTTCCCCACTATATATATTTTTTTTATAAATTTTAAAAAGTGATAATACCCGTCATCTAATATATATACTTCTCCATGTTCAAAGGGAGACATTAATCCTGCATCTTTATTCTTTTTATAAATTATATATATATAAATTATATATATATATATATATATATATATATATATATATTTATATAAATATATATATATATATATATTTTTATTATTTTTTTTTTTTATATATATATTTTACTAAATATGGATCTATTTTAATTAAAGAAACTCCAAATCCTGTATGTTTTAATAATGCTGCTAATGATGCTATTGTTATTCCTTTTCCAATACCAGAAGCTACGCCTCCACATACCACTATGAATTTTTGTTGTTTTTACATTACCATACTTTGGTAATTTTATAGATCTTTTTGTCTTTGGTTGTTTATTTTTTATTTATTTGTATTTTATTGTTGTTTGTCCATTTTTATTTTGTAAATATATTTATAAAATTAACAAAAATAAATTTATACATATATTCGTACTAAGGTTAAATTTGAAATTTCTTATTTTCGTTTTTTTGTAAATATTTTATTAGACTAATTTTTATTTTATATTTATTAAAAAATCAAATTTATTATATATTTGTATCAATATTCAATTCAATATATAAATAAAATATTAATATTTATAAATGTAAATATGAATACCAATATTTTTTTTTTTTTCTATAAATATTCTTATTGTATTATAACATTTAAATAAAAAAAAACATAAAGAAAATTTAACAAATATATTATTTTCTTTTATTTTTAATTAAAATAAAATTAATGTAAATCTAATAATAAAAAAAACTAAAACAACTTAAGCCTTTGAATAATATTTATTTTGATTACAGTAAATGTAATTTTGAAGTTAGACTTTAAAAAAAAGGCTTTTTAGGTTAGATTTAAACAAGGTATGTTTATTTTACTTATAACTCTATGATAGTATCAAAAGTGATTATTTAAAATTTTATTTATTTATGTATTTTTTTGTTTAAAAAACAATTAATTTTTTGTTATTTATTTTTGTTTTAAATTATATTAATTATATAGGAACCTTATTAAAAAATTCCAGATTAAATTATTTAAATAATGCCTGAATGGAAGATTTAATGGATTTATGATCCAAAAACATCAAAAAGCAATAATAAAAGGATAATTGGTTTTAAATTATTAACAGATAATACAATGAAAATAGAATATTTTGGAGACAATATAATAATGATGACTTTAAAAGATTATTTTAGTAAATAAATTTTCTAATTAAATTTTTTAGATGAATATGAAATCATTAAAAAAATAGGAAAAGGAAAATATGCAAAAGTAAGAAAAAAATTGTAAAAAAAAATATTATAAGAAATATACATATATAATCTAATAAAAAAAATAAAAAAATATTTATGAATAAATATAATTATTACTACATTAATATATAAATAAATACAAATATATATATATATATGTAATAAAGGTTTATAAAGTCAGAAGAAAAATAGACAATAAACCTTTTGCTGTAAAATATTTACATAAAAATAAACTCGCAACAATAGAAGACGCTAATGTAATAAATAAAAAATATATAAATAATATTTTCTATATTAGATAAATAAAATAATTAAATTTTTTTAGAAATATATAAAAATAAATAATACATATATATATATATATATATATATATTTATTTGTGAAAATATATGTATTTAAAATATATTTATATTAATAAATTAAATTTATATATATGGATTTTTAAAATTAATATTAATTATTTTTATATAATATATATTTTATTAAGGATGCTTTATTTAATGAACTTACAATCTTAAGATCTTTAGATAATAAATATTGTATAAAAGTAATATCTACATACGAGGATGATAATGGTTATTATATCCTTATAGAATTATTAGATTTCGAGAAGATTTTTTAAAACGAATTGATTAATTTAAAAAATTATAAATTGGGATATGAATATCAAAAACTAGTAATGAAATAACTTCTTATAGGAGTTCTATATGTACATAATAATGGAATAATGCATAGAGATTTAAAACCATAAAATTTAATGTTTGCGACTGAACCTGAAGATGGATAACCATATCAAGTTAAAATTATAGATTTTGGACTTGCTTAATATGTAAAGGCAAAAAAATATATTTATGTCCATGTAGGAACGCCTGGATTTGTAGCGCCTGAAATTCTTAATAATGAAAGTGAAAATAATAGATATACAGAAAAATGTGATTTATTTAGTATAGGTGTGATTATGCATATTATGTATATTATAATATATTTAAATAAATATATAAATAAAAAAAGGCTAACAGGAAAATAATTATTTCCAGGAAAAAGATTCTCTTAAGTACTAGAGAGTAATAAAAAATGTTTAACAGATTTTACTCATTAAAGATATTAAGATGTAAATATATAAATAAATATATATATAATATATATATATATATATATATATATATATATATAAATATACATATATAGATATCAGAAGAAGCTATAGATTTAATGAAACGTCTATTAGAAGTTAATCCATTTAAACGTTTATCAGCTGAAGAAGCTTTAAATCATGAATTTTTTTAAACCGAAGGAACATTAATTAAGAAGGAAATTAATTTATATAATTAAGAAGATTTTACTCCATTAAATGTAAAGGCTCCTAAAATTGAAGTTCACCATAATTTAAATTAAATAGAAAATAAAGATAAAAAAGACATAGATGACTTTAAAATTGATTTCGATGATTTAGGTTTTAAAATGATTCATATGATGCCTTTGGAAGAAATATGTAAATTAAAATAGAAAGATAAAATATTGCCTTTATAAAAGCTTATGTTAGAGCTTCTAGATATTTTTATTATTTTAGAAGAAAATCAAGATGATGATTTCAGTTTTTTTGCCACACCTTTGAAAGTGAGAAAATTTAAGAATATTTAGCAATTTTAGGGAGACATATAGGTATTACATACTGAAGAAGATAAAGATTAATAGCATTTTGAGACTACGGAATAATATGAGGAAGTTAAGGAAAAACTAGAGAAATATGTAGGTTTATAGGATAGAAGAAATTAATTAGAAAATAAAATTACTATAGATATTACTTAAAATAAAAATGAAAATTATTAAAAATAAAGAAAGTAATAATATCCGAAAAAACTTATGTAATTGTTAAATTTATTTCCAGTAGAAATTTTCGATGAGGAATTATATGGAGATTTGAAAAAAGAAGGGAAAAAAATAGTATATTTATTAGGTAAATTTGCTATTTTGGGAGAGAATTTAAACCAAAATGAATATAGTAATATGATTTTATAAGAAAAAATGAATAAAATTAAGAACTCGGGTGTTTTAGAAGGGTGGTTTGTAGCAGTTTTATAGAAAATGATTAGCCCAGTGAGAGATTAGATTCCGGATTTTTTATATATAAAAAGTTAATTAGAATAAAATATGGAAAATGAGAAAAAACCATAATGAAGTTTTTGCTTTATTTTTATAATTTATTTATATTTTTAAAATTTTATATATATTTATATTTATTAAAATATTTAAATATAAATGTTATGTTATTTATGTTTTTATTATAATTTTCTCATATTTTAAATAAACAATAATTTTTAGAATTATGATATTAAATTTATAAGATAAATAAATAGAAATATAGAAAGAAAACTAAACCAAATAATAGAAATATATGTATTTAAAAAATAAAATAAAATAAAATAAATAAAATAAAATATATATAAATAATAGAAACAAAATAAAAATAAATAATAATATATATAAAAAATAGAAATAAAAAAAATAGAAATATATATAAAAAAATAGAAATAAAAAAAATAGAAATATATATAAAATAAATATATATATATATATATATATATATATATATATAAGTTTTTCATTCAATCCCAATTATCTTATTCTGCATGATAATAAAGATGACTTTTTCCAGGTGAGCACAATCTTGGTCTTTCTGGATAATCATAAATCAAACATCTTTCTTTTTTATATTAATCCATGCCAAATTTCTTATAATCTTCTTTATAAGAAGATTATCCATAAAAAGGTACTTATTATTAAGACTTTTTCATATTCTGTTTATTTTCATTATTATCAGGATGTATATTATACTTCTAATACTCTTATTTATAAGTAGAATGTCCATTAAAAGGCAAGTTAATATTGGTATTAGTTTACTTTTATTAAGAAGGGAATGGTCCATTATTATTATAATTATTAATACTTGCATTTTTATCGAAATTATCTTTATAAGTTGTAGATGCATTGAATGGAATATGTGGTTTTTCATTTACCTATTTACTAACCTAAGGGTTACTATATAAATTAGTATTTGCCTTTTAATAGTTGCTTTTATAGGTACTTTCTCCATTAAAAGGAATTTTTATTTGATTATCATTATTTTAGCTTTTTGCTATTCTTTAAACTGGCTAAGGGTTAAAAGGTGTATAAGCCTATTAATTAGTTGTTTTTAATATTTCTGGATCGTAATTTGTCTAATAATATTATTTTTTGGAAGAACGTTTAGTAGGATCTTCGGGATTTAAGTTATATTTTTCATAGTCGTTTTTCATTGTAGATTTTAATATACCGGGGGCATAGTCGGGACCTTTAGGGGGGCAATAATGTTTTTTACAGGTACATATTTAACACACACATTAGTTATCATGACCGTAATGATGACCCGCTACTGAAATTCGCTTTTGTTTCGGCTGCTTTTATTAGGATTTTATAGGGGTTTCGTATTGAATTTAGGGATGTTAGAGGGTTTTCATTTATTTATTATTATTTAGTTTTTTTTTTTTTTGTTATTAATATTTTTTGTTTTTAATTTATATAATTAAATTCTTTTTTTTTTTTTTTAACCACTCATAAATTATATTTATTCTTTTTTTTTATTTTAATTATAAAAATAAAAAAAATTATTTAATATTATATTTAAATTTATATATTTTTTTTACCCTTAATTAAAAAGATATAATATTTTACATATATATATATTTTATATAGAATATTTTTATTTTTTAATGCTTTTGTAAGTATTCAATTAAGTTAAACCTGTTTTTATAAAATGTTGCAAATTAAATATTTAAACATGTTTTTTATTTCAATCATAAAATAATTCGAATTTTAATAAATTTATAAATTAGAAAAAAGTAATTATTTTAAAATTTTAAATAGAAAAAATAATAAATTAAATGAAAAAAATTAGGATAAAGAGGCATTAGAATTTAATATAAATGAATATTAATAATATAATAAAGCTATAAAATAATTTAATAAATTTTAAATTAAGTATAATATATATGTAAATTATTAATTAAATAAAAAATAAGACCTTACTCGTTAGAATTAATATAAGAAGTTGAATTGTATATATTTGATAAATAATTCGATAAATGTAATTTGATTAAATAAATTAATTGAAATAATAATATAATAATATATATATATTAATATATAAATATATATATATATATATATGTATTTAAGTATGCTGTAAAACTGATATTATATTAGTTAAATATTCTCTTTTTCTTTTACATATATGGTTATTACATAATAGAATTAGATAATTTGTAATTAAAAAATTAAATTTTAAGAATATTTTATTATAAAAATTTTTTAATATATAACAACATTAAAATAAGCATAATTTTTAGAGCTTTATGATGAAAAGAAGCTTATTTAATTTATTAGAATAATATATTAAAGATTCAGTATATTAATTTTAAGTAAATTATTTTATATAAAAATTTTATTAATTTTTTTTTTTTTTTATTATAGGAATATTTTGATAAAGATGTTTATTCTGAATTATAAAGAATAAAAAGAACTTTATTTTATTCTTTAGATGATTATTTTTAATATAATTATAAAGGAAGAGATTTAGATAGTATAATAGAAGAGTAATATACATATATATGCTGATTTTTAAATATTATATATATATATTATATCAAAGTGAGGTATTTTAGAATACTTTAGATTAATAAAACGAATAGTATTTACAAGAAATATAAAACATGAAAAAATATATAGAAAAACACGTTATAATCTTTCAATATACTTAAAATTTATATTTTTTTACTAAAAAACAGATTGAATATCTCTAAAATTTCAATTTAAAACAATTAAAAGAAAATAAAGTATTTTGGGGAGAAATATTAAAATAATGATAAAAAAATAATTATGTAAAAAAGAATTTCTATAAATAAATATTAAATATAAAAAAAAGAATCATTTATAGTATTTCTATTTCAAATCCAATATATAAGTATATAATTAATTAATATAGATACCTTCACAAGAGTTTTTACCATAAATACTTTTTTCAAATTCTAGCAAATCTTTTATAAAAGTCGGATTCGGTTTTACGATTGATCTTATGTTTTTTACATGATCAAATGCTTATTTTAAATTCATATTTTCTTTCGCTATTAAATATGCAAGTACTATTGTCGCACTTCTACTAATTCCTTATTAACAATGGACTAAAACATTCTAATTTTCTTATTTTGCATTATCTTTTATATAAATATATATATACAATTATACTTTCTTTTTTTAATATAAAGTACATAAAAAATCTATCGATTCTTTAAAATATTATTGAATATTTTCATTTATATTATCCTTTTTTTTTATTATTTTATAAAAAAAAAAAAATATATAGATTTTTATTTTGTTTTTACATCGATTTTTATATTTTTGTATATAAATTCATCTGGATATTTATTTCCGACTTCTTATGTTATATTAAGAATATATTTGATATTAGTCCTTACTTTTAATTCCTTTTTTATTTTTTTATATATTAATAAATAAATAAATATAAATTCCAAACTTTATAATTTGTAGAATTAGAAGCACTTCCTAAATATAACCAATCTAATATTTAGGAAGAATGCTATAATTAATGCGTTTTAAATTGATTTTCTTCAAACCAATTTTCACACCTATTACATATTATTTTTCCTTCTTTATTTATAGGATTTAAACCTTCTCCAGCTTTAATTTTTAATTATATTTTTTATTTTTTTATAAAAGAAATACTTCCTTCAGCATCTGCATAAGAGTTTTAAAATTAATCTTCTGTCTTTTTGAATTTTTATAGTAATTCTTAGGTTTAGTTACCTTTTTTGATATAATATATTTTTTCAAATATTATAATTTTTATAAATTGTCAAACCTTAATATTCTTAGATTTTTTAAGATTTTTAATGATTAATTTAAGTATTTATTTAAATGTTTTATAAAACATAGCTAGGAGGAGGAGGAGGAGGCCCAACTTAAAATTATTAAAATTATTAATAAGACATTAAAATAAATTATATTGATTAATATTATAAAGAGAAAATAATAAATATTATAAAAGTAAACAATCAATATTTGAAAAAAAGATAAAAATAATAATATACAATATAAAATATAAAATATATATATATATTTATATATATATATATATATATATATATATATATATATATATATTATATATTTTTTTTTTCTTTAAAAAAAAATATGTTTAAAAATATTCAACATAAGACAATTAGAATAATTTAATATTTTATATTTTATATGGAATTAATTTTTATTAAATTTGGTTTTATTTTACATATAATTATTAAATAATAAATTATGATAACTTTGATTATTAAAAGATTAAATATATTTATATTATAAAATAACTTTAACTTTATTAATTAAAATATTATATATCTATTTTTATTATTGATTTTTTTTATTTTGAATTTTTTTTTTTATCCTATTCGTTTTATAAATAAAATATAATAATAGGAAATAAAAAAAAAAGAGAATTTATAATTATATTTTAAAAAATAGTATTTATATTAAAAGTAATAATTTTGATAAAATATAAAAAATCTCTAAATAAATATATCTATCTATAATTAATAATAACAATAAAAAAAAACATATCAGTTTTATTTTTTAGTTTAATAATTGTATTCATCAATCATTACCTTTTCTGAAATTTTCATATTCAAATATTAACTTAAAAAGTTCTCCAAAATAAAATTCGGAATTTAATGTTTCCAATGTCCATAAGTTTATCTCTCATACCCAACCATATTAAGACAACCATTAACACATTCTTATACATTTAAAGTAAAATAATTATTTAGTTTGGAATGGTTTTAGTCATCTAAGTTTTAACCATCATTGGCCTAAAACATAAAATATCAATTTTATTAGAAGGATATTCATAAGAAATACTTCTTGATAAATAATCCCCAAAAACTTTAGAAGCACAATAAATATCCAAAAAAGGAATTGGAATAGTTGCGGCAATAGAGCTAACATTAATAATAGCTGATTTATGATTTTTTCTATTAAGAAGTTATTATAAAAGCTTATATGTAAGTAAGGCTATAGGACCGCAATTCACATTAATTACTTTTTTAATTTCTTAAGGAGGATATTCGAAGTAATTTTAAGATTTCTAGCAAATATCATTATTGATATTTATTCCTACATTATTAACTAATATTGAAATATCTAAATTTTAGATTTCTTTTAAAATTTTTTCATAGAATTTATCGTCTTTTAAATTATCCTCAAAATCTCCTTTTATATTTCTTATTTAAATTTTTTCGTTTTTTATTTTTCCTTTAGTTCTTTTATTACTTTTTAAGCTTTCTCCTCATTTCTTGATACTATTATTATATTAAAACCTCTTTTTCCTAATTCTAAGCAAAAACCTTTCCCTATCCCATCTGTTCCTCCTGTTATTAAAGCCCATGTGTTTTCTCCATATTCTTTTCTTAAGTCTTTAGGTTTTCTAATGAATAATTTATAAATCAATGTTAGTAAATTGATTATTATTTAAGCTATTTTTAAGCTGCCTATAATTAAAAATAATTAAAAACCTGTAAAAGGTAAATATAAATTCATTTTTATAAAAAGATATGATTTTTTATTTGTAAATATATATTTTTTTTCTTATTTATATAAAAATCAAATAAACTTTTATTTATAATATTTTTCTAAGAATTTAACATAAAATAAATATATATAAAAAAATTATTTTATATCTTTAATAGAAAACAAAAAAATGAATTAAAATGTATTCAAAAGATAAATGAAAATAGAAGATTGGAATCAAGATCGTATTTAAAAAACAGTAATAAATAATAAATAAAAAATTAAAATAAATAAAAAAGACTGTATTAATATTAGGTGCTGGAGGTTTAGGTTCTTGCACATCAATTCAGCTTGTCCGATTAGGAATAAAAAAATTAATATTAATAGAATACGATGTAGTTGATGATCATAATTTAAATCGATAACTTCTTTATACTATAGATGATATAGGGAAACTTAAAACAGAATAAGCTTTAAAAAATTTAAGGTTTCATAATATAGGAAATACATAAATAGAAACTTATAATATAAATGCATTAAAAGAATGGGATAAAATCGTAAATTTTGCAAAAGAAAGCTAAATAGTATTTAATTTGATTGATTATGGTGATTATTTTGATTTAGCTATTTCTTCTTTATGCATTTTTTTGAAAATTCCATTAATATAAGGAGGAACTTTTTCTAATTCTTTAAGCGTGGATTACTTTAATCCTGAAGGAAAACCCTGTCTTTTATGCTTAACAGATGGTTTAGATAAAAGTATTATAGATAAAGTTAAACCTAGTGTTATTTCTTAGTATTAAAGTTTAGAGTTTTTACCAAAGAATAATAATCCAGAAGGATAGTCAAATGTTGTTATTTGTTAAATGTGCGCGAATTTTATTAATACCTTTTTTTTGGATTTTATTCATAGTAAAAATACTTAATCTAAGTAAGCTTTTTTTTATTATAAAAATTTATCCTTTTTTATATTTATATTTATATTTATATTTTATATTTTATATTTTATATTTTATATTTTATATATATATATATATATATATATAAATATATATAATATATATTATTATAGGAGATATCTTTTTTATATTAATCCAATTGATATAGTTAAATTTGATTTATAAATTAATAGAAAATGTGTTTATTGTAGAGATATGCCTTTAAAAGAAAAAGAAAGCTTTTTCTAAATTGAATATAAAATAGAAAATTAAATAGAATTATGGGATTTATTAAAGAATATGCAATTTTAAATATTATTTCCTTAAATATTTAGTTTTGTTAATTTAGTAGAAGGCAATATTTGCTAATTAGATAGTAAATATTAAATAAAATTAACTAATAATGAATAAGAATATGAAGTATAAATTATTGAAATATCTAATATAAACAAGAGCTTAATTATTGAATATTTAAAAGAAAAAGAAAGATTTATATTTTAAATAATTGACAAATAAAAAATTCTGTTAAAAGTTTAGTTTTTAGACGAAATATCAGAAAAGGAATATAATAAAAAAAAAAAATTTTAGAAACATAATAAAAATGATATTTTCAGTTAAAGAATTTATAAATAATATAAAAACTAATATATAAAAATAAATATTTACATATAAATAAATATATATATATATATATATATAATTTATATTAATCTATATAATAGTTATTAGTTTAAAAATATATG